GGCAGTTTTGGGCCTACACCTCCCCTCCCCCCCCGCCAGCCACCAAAGACTTGACCACGTAACGAGCCCAACTCCCCCGAACGCCGCCCGCCGCTCGCCATGGATGCCGGTGTGACTGAAAGTGGACTAAATGTGACTCTCACCATTCGGCTGCTTATGCACGGAAAGGAAGTGGGCAGCATCATCGGGAAGAAAGGGGAGTCGGTTAAGAGGATCCGCGAGGAGAGTGGCGCGCGGATCAACATCTCGGAGGGGAATTGCCCGGAGAGAATCATCACTCTGACCGGCCCCACCAATGCCATCTTTAAGGCCTTCGCTATGATCATCGATAAGCTGGAGGAAGATATCAACAGCTCCATGACCAACAGCACGGCGGCCAGCCGGCCCCCGGTCACCCTGCGGCTGGTGGTGCCGGCCACCCAGTGCGGCTCCCTGATTGGGAAAGGCGGCTGTAAGATCAAAGAGATCCGCGAGAGCACCGGGGCCCAAGTCCAGGTGGCGGGGGATATGCTGCCCAACTCCACCGAGCGGGCCATCACCATCGCTGGCGTGCCGCAGTCCGTCACCGAGTGTGTCAAGCAGATCTGCCTGGTCATGCTGGAGACGCTCTCCCAGTCTCCGCAAGGGAGAGTCATGACCATTCCGTACCAGCCCATGCCGGCCAGCTCTCCGGTCATCTGCGCGGGCGGCCAAGATCGGTGCAGCGACGCTGCGGGCTACCCGCACGCCACCCATGACCTGGAGGGACCACCGCTAGACGCCTACTCGATTCAAGGACAACACACCATTTCTCCGCTCGATCTGGCCAAGCTGAACCAGGTGGCAAGACAACAGTCCCACTTTGCCATGATGCACGGCGGGACCGGATTCGCCGGAATTGACTCCAGCTCTCCGGAGGTGAAAGGCTATTGGGCAAGTTTGGATGCATCTACTCAAACCACCCATGAACTCACCATTCCAAATAACTTAATTGGCTGCATCATCGGGCGCCAGGGCGCCAACATTAATGAGATCCGCCAGATGTCCGGGGCCCAGATCAAAATTGCCAACCCAGTGGAAGGCTCCTCTGGTAGGCAGGTTACTATCACTGGTTCTGCTGCCAGTATTAGTCTGGCCCAATATCTAATCAATGCCAGGCTTTCCTCTGAGAAGGGCATGGGGTGCAGCTAGAACGGTGTAGGTCCACTCATAACCTCTTTCTGCTGTTTTTCCCATGATCCAAATGTGTAATTTCTGGTCAGTGATTCCAGGTTTTAAATAATTTGTAAGTGTTCAGTTTCTACACAACTTTATCATCCGCTAAGAATTTAAAAATCACATTCTCTGTTCAGCTGTTAATGCTGGGATCCATATTTAGTTTTATAAGCTTTTCCCTGTTTTTAGTTTTGTTTTTGGGTTTTTGGCTCATGAATTTTATTTCTGTTTGTCAAAAAGAAATGTAAGAGTGGAATGTTAAGAAATTTCAGTTTAGTTCTGTAATGTCAAGAATTTAAAAATTAAAAAGTGGATTGGTTAAAAAAAAATAATGCTTCATATTTGAAAAAGCTGGGAACTGCGATCTTAAACTCTTTGTTGGTGCATTTTTTTCCCCTTCCCTTTTAGTGTTAGGCATTTGCAGGGAGAAACGTGGGCCCGTCCTCGGTATTCTCTCAAGCCCTTTGCATCTCATTGGTAAGATTCCATTTCCTCTCCGTCCCAACAAAGGAACACTGCAGGTTGGGCCTGCTTTGGGATATTTGCAGAGACATAGGGTCTCGCTGGGAGAGTAACATCCCTCCCTCCACCCAAGTTCCAGAGAGGCCTCTGCCCATTTCTCTGATAGAAAACGTGCTTTCTCGGATGGAAAAGTATGCCCACTCGTTAGGACCTCTGAATGGCCCTGTGTCCTCTGGCCTAACCAGCCCCCATCCCCACCCCCAATCTCACTGGAAAACTCTTAGCCAGGAACAAAAAAATGTTCTGAGGTGGGAGGAGCCCCAGGGGACCCGGAGAGGGGGGGGCTGGGGAGGAAGGGAGAGGCTGAGGTGGGGGGAAGGGAAGGGAAGGGGGCAAGGGTGGGTTTGAGGGTTGGAAGGGCATTTGCTAGAGGGTGGTTGGCGGTAGGGATAGAAGGGTCTTGGTTGGGCTGCAGGACTGAATGAATGGGGGATGGTATCAGTGGGGCACACGTGGCAAGCAGGCACCTGTGGCAAGCAGCCTGTCAGAGGATGTTATTACACCTGCCAAGTGGCGTATCCAGAAACAAAAGAGGCCTAGCTCCTAATTCTTCAGCTGTGTGCAATATTTAGAGAAATCATTGTACCAGGAAATAATCCTGCCTAAATGGGGCAGTCTCGAAGGCAGGAATGTAGACTGAGCCATTGGCTAAGTGCTAAGAATGACCTCGGTGTTAAACGTGTGGATTCTTGGTTCCTGCCCCAAATTTAGGCTGCATTTTTAAAACTCCAAAAGGTTCTTAGATTTGAGAGCCACTGATTCTCTTCACCAGTGAATTAGGAAAATCCTGCTGTGAAGGCTCATATCCACATCAGCCGGTGGGACCAGGCTGGACCCGATGAGAGAAGGAAAATGATCATTAGGCAAAGATACACTAGAAACAACACTACAAGACAGTAGACGATTAAGTGCCAAATTGTAGCTCAAACCCCAGGCACTGTGGGAGATCACTAACATGAAGAATAATTCTGATGGGAGGAGAACTTTATCCATGATAAGTATATGTTGAGACTTATTCTCTACAGGGCATCGGCTCCTTTTTTCCTGAGGTACAGACCTGGTTCTGAGAGTCCCTGGAGGTAAGATTGGGGTCTTCCATATACTTCACATCCTCT